GCGAAAGAGAAGGGCAGTTCCTCTCAGAACGCTGACAGAGCCTTCCGCAGAAACAATGCCTGCTTGTAAAATGAACCAGGGACACTTGAAGCACGAGTGTGTGCACACGCGTGTGCAGGCGGCCGTGTTACCCACACCGCCCAAGTACAAGCATAGTGCTGCAGCGGGGAACGGCGCTGAAAAAACATGCTCATCTGACTTCATTAATCTAACTCTTGCTCATGTATCAAAGTGCAGCACGTTTTCTTGTAAAAATGATTAAGCTGCTAATTAAGCTGTTTATAACTTGTTTCCCTGGTTGCTAATGATAATTAACATGCAAATTAGCTGAGGGAAGAGAGGCACAGGGGTCCTCAGTTCATTACCAAGTTAATTACTGTTTGCATACTTAAACATAACAGTTATAAATGGTGGCATTTAATGTAATGGCCAAGATGATAATTATACCAACGACATTTTGAAAAGTCATTTCACTGTGTGCTATTTTTCTGGGTGATTAATGTTTCCATGGCTGGTTGATAAACTTAGTTCAAACCAATACAAGTTGGAAACAGGGTAACCAAACAAGTTATCCCTTAACAAACGCTTTCTTATCCCTGTTTGTTTGTAACGTGAGGAAGGAATGAGAGGAAATAAAAGCAGTAAGTTTCAGTATTAACAGAGGAGGAATAAAGTGGGCTGGTTAACGCTGTTAATTGAGTTGGCATCATATCTACTGAGATGCTGTAACAGCTTTCTTTTTGATACCTCACGGTTTGTTATTCTTCATGTTACTGCAGTGCTGGGAGATCCCTTCTGAGATTCATTCCCTATCCTTGGCCTCAAAATCTTATCTCCTAAATAAACATGGCAAGTAACATATCACCCCCCCAAAAAAAAAAGAAGTTTGATAATGGTCATTTTGCACTGGGAAGAATGGAAGCAGAGAGCATGATTGTATTTTGGACTGCCGCTTCCTTGGCATGCTGAGGACTTTGTTCCAGCGAACCTGTTCTGATGACTTCCTCGCTGGACACCAAGGTGCTGGAGAATCAGCCTGGCTGGCTAACCTTTAGGGCACAAGAGGTCCAGTATGTTGAAAGGTTTTGCTAATCACAGGCTGGTTTTGCTCCCCAAGTATACCTGGCACAACTGCTATTGATTTCAGCAGTCTCCATCTAGAAAGTCTTGTACTTGCAAAGTTAGGCTGGGAAATGCTAGTGAAATAACTCAGACCAGGATATTTCAGCTAGAAATTTCTACCCTTGAGCCTTTGTATCAGAGGACGTGGCATCAGAGGGGAAGACTCCTGTTGACTCCTGAATGTCAGGGAAACGCAGATGATACTTCGTGAGGGGGCACACTCAGAACGTGCACTCTGGAAGTGGACCACTGGGCATGATCGCAGCGCTTTAAGAGCATTTTTCCTTCCCAGGTCTCAGGCAATGCAACGTTTGGCTTGTCCTCTTCAGTCAAGACAACTGTTTTTCAGTTGAACAGAAGCTTATTAAAAGGTAATTGCTGCCGAGGGTCAAACACATCATGCCTATGGGAGCAGACAAGGAAAACAGAAACCTTGCAGAAGGCTGAACCCCTCACAGGTACTGCAGGAACCAGGCAGTTTCAGCAACTAGGAAAGGGCCATTACTTTAAAGTTACTATTTCTCCTTGGAAACACTTCATTCGTGTCATGGAGTTTCTGGTCAGAGTCAAGCACACCTATCTGTCTGCGGACTGAGCAGATCCACTTTACCACCTCCTACAGAGAGCTGCTGCAGGACCCACAGCACAAGGAGAACCGATTAAATTATGCAGCTCCACTGCCGAATCCCAGTTACATCCCAGAAAATAACTGAGACAGCAAAGGACGTGTGGTGACCTCTGTGAGTTTTCTGCTGTTACTGCTTTCACCTCGATAACATAAACAAAGGGATTATATATTTCTCTAATGAAGCAACAAAATTTTTTCTCGTCATCTTGATCAAGTGCATCTTAATCCTGCTCTTTATCAAGGAGCCCTACAATCCTTTGCGTTATCATTTTCATTGAGGTGAACATAGATGAACATAGTCCAGTGCATAAAGAGATCGTTTTGGCTTTCTGCGACCATATACCTTTATGCACTCAGAAAATCCCAGGATGTTTAGTGCAGTAACACATTTATGTTTCAGCCTGGCAAAACCAAGTGAAAAGTTAAGATAGGCACTCCTCAAGGCCCTGCTGAGAAGCTTAAGCAAAGGGGTAAATTTTCTAATACTCAACCAGATCCAGAGTAATTGGGCCAGACTACAAAATGACAAGCTTAAAACTTATTCTCTGAGCCACGCCACCTTTCACGCACACATTTCAGAGCTCTTTACAAACACCGATTTAATCGCCTTATAGTTTTCCTAGGATGTGTTATTCTTCTGTGATTATCTGGCGTGCAGAAAAGTTTGACCAATCATCAGTCCATCCTATTTCATAAAGAACAGCATACGAAAGGCTGACTGAGAACTTGAACATCCTGAAAAGAAACATTTTACGTACCTACCATTTACACCAGACAATGTTAGGAAGCAGATCTGCTAATAACAAAGCTTAGAGGCTCCACCTGAAATCTACTGTTCTACCGCAAAGGAACAGCAGCAGCTGTGGTCATGGGGATACAGTGCCAGGGGTGCAAATTTCCCTCACGAGAGAAGAATATCCTAACACAGTTTGACAGCAGAGTTACTAGCAGTCTAACTCTCCTGGCAGACTGCAGGTGTAGAACTAAATATGCCTCAGGATGAAATTCCATCATGTGGCTTCACACATCACCAGAGCTTCTTGACTCCCATGTAGTTGGCGCTCAGTCACCCAGCCTGTATAATTTAGTACAAGCCATCTTCGCTCCCTAGGCTGCATGCTTACACCAGCCTAAAGGAGAGCAGAATTTGGTGTCTGCTCTCCCACCCAGGCACAGCTCAGAGTAAAGAATGCTCGTCAAAGAAATCAAAGATTTTTTGTTGTTGTTAAGTTACTACTGCCCCACTCCATTACACTCTATCAAAGCAGGTTTATTCTTTTTTTAAGCCGAATTTTTCTGTGCCAAAACCACGTATTACTGATTTCTCACCATCCTAGCTACACCTATTAGCACTTAAAACCCTGAGGGGAGGGCCATATATCCACTGCAGGCACTGAGAGCCTTTAAAAGAAATAAATGCAAGATTTCTCAGCCATGTCTCTTTGGAAATAGTTATTGCAGACATGTGTTAGTGCATCTCCAGCTTTGCAAAGCCCTCCACTTGTGCTCCCTCCTCACCCACCTCCCTTTAAAAATTTATCAGTAATCAGAGACATCATGAGGAGCTATTGTAGTATACTTAATATTTAATGAGTGTATAGCATGCTTAATATTTAATGTTTAGATAAACATCTCCACACTATTTTTCCCTGCGTTTCTATAACCCTAAAAACAGGGCTTGCCATATCTACCCCAAAGGACAGGTGGCTTGAGAAAAACATTAGGAGCCTCTAAGTCGTATTGCTGGTTCTGCCACTTTATAACAACAGGTTTTCACCCTGGTCTCCATTCATATACTTCAGGTATCATACCAGACCGCGGTCATTTCCAAGCGAAAAACTCTCTTTTTCCATCAGCGTTGAGCTCTTGTAGATGCTGTCCCTCTTATTCCTTTGAAGACCAAAGTTCGGAACTGAAATTAATCTAAGCTTAAGTTTGATGGACAACTTTAAACTGGGTCTATTCATATCAACGGCTATATAACCCTAAGTCAACAAAATAATTTCTTCTTGTTGCTGATAGCTTTCTGGCCAACCCTACAGGTTATAAGAGCACCCCTTAAACCATTCCTGTACAGCAGTGAGCACCCTGGACCCTAAACCAACCTGGGACTCTTTCTGCTAGAAATGATGAATGGAGGATACTGGCATCCTCCCCGTTCTTTGTATCTACAAGGCAAAATGTGGCTGGAAGCAACTTCCACACCACTCAGTCATGCAGCAAAGTCAAATTATGGGTAATGATTTTTGCAGCCTGGGCCACAATCCATTGAAGGCACCGGTCTCGGTTTTATTCCCACAAGCTGTGCCTGAACCTCAGCGGAGGGGCAAGGAGGCACACGCGTTTGATCAACCCAGCTCCTTTTAATGTGATTTCTATTTCAGAACTGTTTCTTTTTATGCCCTCAAGTCTTTCTCGGTAATATCACCTGTGGCCTGACGTGACAGCAATGCTAAATTATATCTTGATGGCTAATTAGGGTAATTAAAATGAAAGTAATCAAATCAAAGCAATGGGCGAACTCTTAATAAAACGTCAAAAAAAATCTCCATTCATCACAGAGGGGTTTTTTGAATGTCAAACAACGCGGGTAAGGGAAAAGCCGGACCTCAGCAGCGGCGCTGGCTTAAAGGCACATCCTCGGCCTAAACGCTCCTGCAAACGGTCCGTGACTTACCGCCAAGTCCGAGCCCCGCCGCCAGGCCGGCCGCTCGGCGGGGGAAGC